TAGGGACATGGTTTGGTGGTGGACTTGGCAGTGCTAGGTTAATGGTTGGACCTGATGATCTTAAAGGTCTTTTCCAACCTAAACAATTCTATGATTCTAAGATTCTATGAAAGCTTGAGGCTTTCCTTTCAAAGCTTGAGAAATAATTTACCATGTGGGTTTAGTTTCCTTAATACTTTATGAAAGCTTGAGGCTTTCCTTTCAAAGCTTGAGAAATAATTTACCATGTGGGTTTAGTTTCCTTAATACTTTTTGAGATGCATGGCACACATTTCTGGTAAGACCTCTTTACTTACAGAGAAACCACTGGCCATTTAATTACATGTAAATTACCATATAGTGATAAGATGATTACATGATTAGCAGTGGGATAACGAAGCCTGGAAAGTACAATGTAATTGACAGCTAAATACAGTGTAACTCAAAATTCAATTTACTCAGTCATTAATCTTGGACAACTGCATATTCTGGAGGAACAGCATGTGATTTACTGAGCAATGCAACATTTGAGTAACTCCCTGGGGGTGGCCCCACAAAGACAAACAGCTTTGCATATAACTTGAGGTCTCAGCCATGCCCGCAGAAGGGTTACATGATGCCTACCTCTCCTTCTGCCTGCAAATGCGGCCAATACCCAGAGCGAGCTCCCAGGGTAGCACAGCATCGCATTTTGACTGTGTCTAACCCAACATTTACGAACCTCAGTTCTTGCAAGCAGAAGACAGTAAAAGCAGAGACAGCCGAAGGAAGGAAGCTGCGGCTTAGCCAGTGCCGGGATAGCCCCAGCGGACACCATCCCCCAGGTCCCACCTGCCATGGGACAGCTAGGTGGGAGCATCACCTGTGAAGGGGCTCTACTAATCCTACTCACTTTCTGCCACTTTGCAAGGTGTCCCTAGATCTCTGGTGCACAGGAGGCCACCAAGGCTGCCGGCCATGCATTGGCAGTGCCGCTGCTGCAGCCAGATGAGCTGCTGCTGGTGGGGTGGTCTGGGGACACCTCCTCAGTTCGTTCCCAGGACCTGGCCATGCTGCTCCCTGGGGTGGCCGTGGCTCACCAGCCACACGGAGGAGACCTTTCTGCTGGGCTTCTCGGATGCAATCTCCTGATTTCTCGGGAGCTGATTTTCCCATCTTGTTTCCAATCCGTGAAGCATCCAGCATCCTCCCCTCTTTCGCTGCAGCTGGGAAACAGCCCCACACCTCCCCTGGGCCAGACATCCCCCACCAACCCTATCTGAGGGGAACGGGGGGCAGCTCCACCTCCACGAGGGTTTCCCGGTGCCACCCCAGCACCCACCTGGATTCCCAAGGTCGCTTCTAAATCTGCCTCGATGGGAAAGTGACCCCAAGCGAGCATCTCCCTTGGGGACGGGTTGGGTGGGAAGGACCTGGGGGAGCCAGACAGTTTTGTAGCGGAGAGACTCGCAGTCCCAGACACAGCAGCCTGAAGCTCAGCCCATCACTGCCTAACAGCGTTCCCCGCTGGGATGCTGTACCTCCTGTGGCACACCAGAAATAAATAAAAAGCAAACTTATAGACATCGAGCAGAAAGAACCAAAAAAACCCACCCCAAAACAAACAAAAAAAAAAGGTGGGCAGGTCCCTTGCCGTTGAGAGCATGTGGTATTTATTAGACATAAATTGGCACACAAGAATAGGAAAGCGTAGCTAGGTAGGGATTTTTTTTTTTTCTTAGCTACACGGCTTTGGATACCTGTCTATAATCCCTCCCACGCACATACCGGCATTCCCACGCATTCGCACCCACATTCTCAGTTGCTGACACACAGGTATACCTCTTTTGTTAATTAGAATTACTTTTAATTAAAAATATATGTAAATTATATAGAGTGTGCACAGCTTGGAGAGAAAAAAAAAAGAAGAAAAGAAAGCAAAATTCCGTTTCAATAAAAATTTTAACCCCTTTGAATCAGCTGCTTTGCTGGCTTTGCGACATACTATGAGTTATTGGAAGTCCCATGTATAAATAAATAGTACCAGGAAATTTTACACCTGAAAAATTCTGCAGTAGACATTTTTACTTATACACATTTGCTTTTTCTTCTCTTCTTGTCTCCCCCACTCCCAGCCTCTCATGATCATTTTCTGCTCCTTTTAAACACATTTACTTAATATCTCACTTAACACACCCAGACCAGTATCCCTTTTTCTATTTTTTTTTTTTTTTTGAGAGGAAGAAAAAGAACGCGCGATAAAATTAAAGTCCGGGATTGCAAACAAGCGCCATCATCATTTTTATGAGCAAAGTTTTTCCTTTCACTGTCTGCATCCTCTCTCTCCCCGCCTTTCCTCCCCCTCGCAGCTGGCTCAGAGCCTCGCTTTCTGCATGCCGGTAAAAATTCGGCAGGAGACAAGCTGTGGATGTTTTCAAGTTTGAAAGGTACCCCGCGCTTCCGTCAGAGACAGCGGATGGACCGGGAAAGACCGGGAGATGGGAAAGAAAGAAGAGCGAGAGAATTACGCACAAGTGGGAAAGGAGATGAGTTTACGGGGCTGGTTCCTGCAGAGACGTGTTTTGGGGCATCTGTAAGGAAACACGGCACCCTGCAGGGAGCGGTTTCACTCTGGGCGAGGTAGGTACCTGCTTTTCTTACTTGTGGGTTCATAATACCTCTTTCTGTTGAAAAGTAACAACAATAATACTAATTAAAAAAAAAAGAAACACCACTCCAAAAATCCACCCTTGGTAAAAAGGGCTGGTGTCTTTTTTTTTTTCTTTTTTTGAGAAATTTGAAAGAAAATATATATATTATTATTTATTATATAACATTGTCAACATCAACACCACAAAAAAAAGTAACATCCTAGTTGTTTTCGTTCAAGCACTCTGACTGTGTTGAGAAAGGCAGCAGGAGTTTCGTGTCCCCTGGAGAACAAAAAGAGCAGGAGGGCAGCGGGGGGACGAGGGCACGGGGCTGGCGGTGGCAGCAACACAAACTGGGTGGGGACCGTAGCGGGGGACAAGTGTGCCGATCTGTTGATTTTTCTTTTGAAACAAAAGAAAAAGGGGGGGGCAAGTCACACCGAGGCCGATGACTATTTCGTCTGTGGTTTCAATCAGTGTCCATCCCTCTCGAGTGCTATCGGTGAACATTCAGTTAAAGGAGTCTTGCGAAATACTCTCGCTTTTATTCTCGACAGGGCATTTTTTCCTTTTCCTTTTCCCTTTTTTTTTTTTTTTCCTTTCCTCATGGCTAATGCTCTTGCACTTTCCTGACCGCCTCGTTAGCTGTTCTCGCTCCACTCTGGCACCATGCCCACGCCGTGGACCGAGTGGTACTGGTGGGGCGAAAGGGTTCGAGGCACGCCGTGGGAATACAGGAACTCTGCGGGCTGTAAGCTGCTGGGGGGGGACTGGATGCCGGTTTGAGGTCCACACTGCCGGACGATGGGTTGGTGAGAAACTGAGGTCTGGTGCTGAAACATGCTATGGGTATCTCCTATTTGGGGGGAAGTATGGTTGGCCACGCTGCTGAGCCGGGGCATCAGCGGCCCTGAGGTGAAGTGGGCAGAGAAATGCTGGTAGGGTAATCTGTCCATCGGCTGCATGGCAGACACTGTGCAACTGCTGTAGGAGGGCACGCTCGGCCACGTGTTACAGCTGATGTCTTCTAGGCTGGGCACGGGGTCCGTGGGGGGAGCGGAGCTGGCATACATACATGCTTGGCGCTGGGCTGATTCAGTCCTGTATGAAGTGTTCAGTCCCTGCTGCTGGGGGTAACTGGACCTGTAGAAAGGATCCTCTTCTGCTGGAGAAGTTTCCATGTAGGGCTTCTTGTAGGGATGCTCAGTGGTGGAACATTCCTCATCTGTTGGGAGAGAAAACCCCTGGTAGCGAACAACAATACTATGCCCTCAGCTGAACCTCCCTCTCCACAGTCCTCGTTTTACCAAGGACACAGTCTGCACAGAGCTGATCCAGACACTTCTCTCAGTTATGTCAGTGCAAATCCAGATCCCTTCCTCGGAATCGCCCTGAATCGATCCTGCTGAAACCAAGTCTTGCACTCGGCCCTGTCTGCTGGGCTGGAGAAGGGATTAGCTAGGAGCTCTGGGAGGAAAATTAAGGCTATAAGATGCTGGAGGGACTCTGAGGCTTAGCTCGCTTGGGGATACCCCACGCACACCCCCACACCACCAAGCTCCTTGTCTCCTTTCTGCTGCCAGCACTTTGACCAGGGGAGTGACATCCGCCTGCGGATACGGTGCGGTGCAGAGCAGAGGTCCCCACTCCCAACCAAGAGGCTCAGAGCTGATGCTGTGAACTAAAAGCCTTTACAGTGATATACTTTCACGATAAATGAGACAAAAATGGAGATCACAATAAAAATCCCCCCGGGAGAGCATCAGCAATGGCACAGTTGAGACAATCAGATTCGGAGTTTTACAGCCCCGGTCTTTAGCTGTGCCAAGGGAGCTGGGCACATAAATCCACACAGCTGTGTGCTGGAGCCAAGTGTAACAAAAAAGAAAAGTAAATTTCACAGCTAGAAACAGCAAGGCACAGCTTGCAGACCCCTTTGTTTCCTGCGGCATCCTGGGCCAACAGAGGGAAGGAGATAAACAATTTAGGTGAAATCTCTAGGGTGAAGCAAAATGAATAAATGAATATGCACTTATTTATTCATTCGCAGGGTCATCAAATGAAATCCAGCTTTGCTGGAATGGATGGCAAAGTTCCCAGGGATGAGCGCTTCACCCAGAGATTTTAAGGACAGCGAGGCAAGGGAAGGGAAGCTTGTTCTGACCCAGATTAACTTTCCTGCTCCTTCAAGAACAAGATCCCTGGTCCAGGCAGAAAAACATCCCACTTTGCTTAAAGCCCTCTTGGCTGCACCCTTTCAACAGGGGTAAAATTTGAAAGAATACTGCAAGAAATGGCCCTTTTCAAATTTTCCTAACCAACATGTTTTGAGCCGCAATTTTTTTCACCCCCAAAATGCAAAGGAAAAAAACGCACTTCCACAAAAAAGAGGACTAAAAGCATCTGCCCCCCCAGAGGCACTTGCAAAAACACAGGTGTTGCTGCTGGGCTGCTCCAACGTGAGTGCCCACGTCTCACCTTCAGGAGGTGCAGATGGGCAGGGCAGGCAACTTCTGTTCCTTGTAAACATGCACGTGCACATACCCTTATTACTATAAACAGCCACGCGCTTTCTCCTCGGAAGCTGCACCCACCCTGCTTGTAAAATAACCCATTACTCCCACTCAGGTGTCTACCAAATCCAGCTGGAACAACTGCTGTTAGTCTCCTCATCCTGACAACCCCAGAAAACATCAGGTACTGAGGTACACCCCATGGGGACTTTCCCCTTGGTGTCCTTTGACTTTGTAATAGCAGCTGCCCGTAAATTCACCTGGAGAGGCACGGTCCCATTTCACGCTTTCTCCCTGACAAGAGCAAAACCTGGCTCCTTAGTCCCGGCAGTGCAGAGCCCTGATAATCAAGATACCTTCCTCCTCTGCCTTCTCTTAAATGGTAGAAAGTAGGATGGGGCAAGCAAGCCACGCAATCACATCTTTAAAATAGCTGAAACAGTAAGCAGATAGATGCAAAACTGTATCGCTCTCCTCAATCCTGATCAGGTGCGTTTTAGATAGGAGCGGTGGAGAGGATGTAGTCCCCTGAAAGACAAAAGCTGGAAGCACAGGTCTGAGCTCCCTCCTGAGCACGGGTTAGGTACATCTGGAAGAACAGCCTGAGCTCTAGCTTTTACAGGCAGCCTAAAAGTTTTGGATCCCTAACCCACCACTGAGTAATAAGAACACCAGGGTGGAAAAACAATGTCTTGTAAAATGAAGCATTGTTCTGCTAATAAAGTTTTCAGCATTCAACCGCGTTACTCTGCTGGCATTAGAAATCATTGGCTTGGGGTTTGACTGTTTACTTTATTTTTATTTTTTTCAATATACAACACAAAACAGCCAAACTCTGTTTTTCCGTTGTGTAAAAACGCGCCTGACTTACAACCTGAGGTTGCTGATTTTTCCATTTAGCCCAGACGTTTCGCTGCCTGCCACAGCCCAGCCAGGCAGAGCCGCAGTTACGGATCCGCTTCCAGAATTCATCGCAGGTGAAGAGAGAAAAACAAAAACAGCCAGCATTTCAGTGGAAACCCTATAGGTGCCAGCTCTTCTTCTGTAGGCTCTCAGGATCGCTCTGCTGGCCTCTCTAGAGCCAGGTAGGCTCTCGGGATCGCTCTGCTGGCCTCTCTAGAGCCAGGCTTACTGATGTGCTATGTGGAAAGGGCACCATCACTCCAGATTTTAGGATGTGTAAGGACACCAAAGAGGACATAGTCGCTAACACAGGATTACAGCCTACCCTAACGGCTTCTGCCTGCCCTCTGGCCCCTCCTCCCGATGATTTTTCCCATCTATGTAACCTCAAAGTGCTGGAGAGGGAAGAGAACAGTCCATCTTCATCATCAGATGGGATGGTGCAGTCCAGAGATCCTCAGCTGGTGCTAGCTGATGAGTTTACCCTGGTCCAGGCTCTCTAGTCTGATCTGGCATTGTCCCACCGCTCCTCAGAGAGGAGACCAGAGCTGGCACAGAGCAGGTGAAGCGCATCCCCATGGCGTGCAGAGCAAATTTGGGGGTGGGAAGGGGACATCTTCAAGTAGGAGAACAGCAAAAGGAGAACAAGTCAAACAGAGCTCTCAGGCAATGCTGAAGGCTGCTGTTTGAAGTCATCCCCACCTGCTCTGGAGCCTGGACAGTGTCCCAAGGCCATAATCCTCTTCCTGAAGGTCCTCTCACCTCCCCAGCATCACTGCAAGCAGGACACAGGAGATAACTGTCTGGTCAGCTCTGGGTTTGATTCTTGATGTTGGTTCCCTGACAGAACTTCATTGTCCTTTTCCTGTTGTCACCAAGCCCTAGGAGGTGCTGGGCACCTCTGGGAGATGCTGACCATCCTCCACATTTGTTGCTATTCTTGGAAGCCAAGAGTGGTGATCAGCTCTTGTGACCAGCCCCTCGATACTGCGCAAACCTCAAAAAGCAAAAAGTTCTGCCAAGCAGGGGAAGCTGCCAGCGCTTGGGAGAAACTGCTCCGAAGTGGATCCAAGGAAAACGGAGCCTGCAGAATGGGGTGGAAACTGGCTCCCTCACAAGGAATTTGATGATCTATCTAATGAAGGAGCTTGAGTGAGAGCATAAGCAGTTCCAAGATTTCCGGTATTTACTACTTCCAGCTGGGTTGTAAATACCACACAAATGGCTTTTTAAATGGAATTTTCCCAATTCCAAGATTAGGGCCATTCCAGAATGAAATGCAAACATGTAAAATCTCTGGACTTCAGGGTGCACTGGGCCCACCTCTTCCCCTGGTGTAAAACCAGGAGAGCTCCTTTCCAATTCATGACAATCAGCTCCCCGGGACAGAAGACAATGAAGAATGGGACCCAACTGTTTTAGTTTTTAAAGCTCACCCACACTTCCAGGGCATTACAGTAGGTTCATCCCGACTTTGTGAGGAAGACACAATGGGTGATTATCACTAACACTGTTGTTTTATCCAGTCTGGTTTCTGGTATGAATCTAGCATGAGCCTGAACAGCCAATCACAGTGTGCAAAACTGACAAGGGTTGTCAAAGAAGAAAAGAAAAAGGGATATTCGGTCAAAATCAGCATCCCTAAAAGGCAAAGCAGACGTACATCCTAGGACGTGAAACCTAAGACGTGCTAGCTATTTCAGCAATCGCACGGTTTGCAATATGGCTGTGTTGCACTGCAGGGGAACACGACAGAAAGGGTTGTGGGCCAGAGACAATCCAACACCAAAAGCTGGAACCTCTTCCACAGGCAGGGAGCTGCCAGCACTGCCTGCAGAGGCACAGGGGGCACCTCCCGATGGGAGAGCGGGATGCTCACATGAAGCTGCTGAAACTACAGCGCCACAAGCAATGTGGCTGCACAGCAAAAGCTGGGTGCACACCAGCCCCCTGAGTATCTCCCCACCATGCAGGCAGGCTCTTCTTCACCCACCAGCCACCTTGCTCTGGGCTCCACTGCATCTGCCCAAGCTGCAAACACCTCCAGCTGCAGCACAGCTCAAGCCTTGGCCAACTCATTACATCTCCTAACATCAGCAGGACGAGCAGCACGACCTCCAAAAAGACATCCCATACCTGACTTTTGTCCTACAGATTCTTTGAGTGAAATAAAAGCTGGGTGGGATGAGGGAGAAATCCGTTCAATCAATGAAGAGGTCTATCCACCCCAACAGTGCCTGTTCTCGTGGAGAAGGGGGAAAGACATTGCTGTATCTCCGCCGACCTCAGCAGAGCAGGAAGGAGATGAAAGATATATGCTTCCCCACGGGCAGGGTCATGTCCAAGCTAGGTGGCTGAAGGATACGATCCTTGCTGGTTGGAGCCGGTGGATTCTGCCACGTCCCTCTTCTCCTCAGAGTGCCAACATGACAACTTTTATAACCTCCCCAGGGAGAGGCTGTTCCAGTCGCCTCCTGTTCAGCATCACAAGCATACCAGAAATCTGCCAAGTGGTTGAGATTGTGTAAGGCTGGGAGGGAGCAGAGGTTTAGAGGGATGGCTTTTTAGTTCACAGGAAGTCTGAGGGAGTAGGATAACACAAGGGAAAAAAAGCCCCAATGCCCTAACTGGGACATGGGGCTAAAATGAAAGACAGAAAGCAAGCTGCCTGCTGGTAAGTCCTTTTGGGCTTCTCCAAGCACAACAATGAGAGAGGGAGAGGTGGAGAACAACCAGAAAAAAGGCAAAGCTCCAATTGGTCTTTGTTGCAGCCTAAAAATCCACATCAAGAACTCAGGCCACTCCTTGGTAGGGTACAGGATTTGAGTTAATCCATCCTCTCAAGACCAGTCTCTTTGTGAAATGCCACAAACAATATCAGTGTGGAGGTGAGATACAACGCGGGATGATTCTCGCCTTGAGGACTGCCATTCGCCAGCCTTCAGCATGTTCAGAAGGCGCCTGGAGCAGCAACCCCACTGCACCACGCTGGGGTCATTCCCAATGCTGCAACCCTGCACTCTCACCCGGGCACCAGGAATTGCCAGATTTGGGGCTCTGGGATGTGTCCTCCCTTCCTTCCTCACCCAGAAGAGCATCAGCTCCCTGAAACAGAGGAGCCTTCAGAGATAACATTCCCTCACAGCCCTGCTGCGCTCCCCTAATGTAACTCCATATCAGATCTCCAGAGCGAATCCATCTTGACTTGACAGCTAAGAACAACACTGTCAACCACAGAACTAAACCTTTGTCTTAGGTCACCAAGGAAGTAGAAGTTGAATAAGGTGCCTTTGAGTTGCTCGAATACAGACCTATTCTTAACCGAGCTTAAACCGAGACTTAACCTCCTGATTAAAAAGGATACAGAGAAACATCACGAGACGTCAAAGCTGGAAGGAGCTGTATCTGAGAGGCTATCTTGGAAAACAGTGGTGGTATTTGCTACAGAAGATACAGACACCAGCTGGTCTCAAACCCAGTCGAATTGCCCTCTGCCCCTGCGAGCACTTATCCGTAACCGCAGCCTTAAGAAAAGGAAATAATCTGCTTGAGAGAAATCCTAAACCGACTGAGGAGGAGTCAATGTTTAAGGAGCTGATGATCCGATGAAATCAATAATACTTCCAGTCCAGAAAATGGACAGAGGTGCATTAGGAGTGAACATGCTCTTGCTTTCACATTTTCTTAGATGGTGAGGTTTGTTAAAAGTATCGCAGAAAAGTAGGAAAGCAGGAGAGCTGTGAGGGAAAGCTTAGTATTTCACTTAGAAAGGAAAGGCTGGAAAAGGAAGGAAAAGAGGAATATTATAGGTAAGGTTAGTTTCCCAAGTTCGATAAAGGTCCTTGCTCGGTGCTAGAAGAAAGTGCCACGCTCAGTCTGAGTTTGAGACGAAACCTTGGATCACGTTCTGATTTATCTGAGTTGCTCATCTCTAGTGACTTTTTTTTTTTTTAATTAATTTCACTTTGCAAAGAGCTGCTTGGCAGCTCATGTTGGCTCTCTGTTTCCCATTAACTTTGTGTTTCTTTCCTTTAAGCCCTGGTGGCTGTTTTCGATTTACTGGATGCATGAGGAGGGGGAAAAAGGCACAGGGAGGAAAGCAGGGACTCAGGCTCCTGATTAATTTCATTGCAAAGAGCTGCTTGGCAGCTCATGTTGGCTCTCTGTTTCCCATTAACTTTGTGTTTCTTTCCTTTAAGCCCTGGTGGCTGTTTTCGATTTACTGGATGCATGAGGAGGGGGAAAAAGGCACAGGGAGGAAAGCAGGGACTCAGGCTCCTGAGACGCACAGCTTCACGGAAGAAGCCGGTGGTATCGGACAGGACACTGCTTCTCTTTGATTAAAGCATTTGGCGGCTTTGATAAAAGGCCCTTAACTGCTTGTGCCACTCAAGCCATCGTAGAGATAATGAGGGGCCATCAGCCGTACAGAGAAGGACTCATTTTGCCAGTCTCCTGCACTTTCGTAAGGGCCACGCAGGCCAAAAGGGGCCGGGGAGCTTATTACAGGGCAGATAGTCGTCTCTTTTGTGACAATAAGAGGAAGTGAGATAATTGGGGGATTGAGGGAAACCACCCATGGAGACACCACTTAACGGGAATCCCAAAACTGGAAGGAAACCTCTGTTGATTCCTTATCACGTTACAATGTGGAGGGGAATGATGAATTGCCCTGCGGTGCGGGGACACGCAGCAGTCAGAGATTGTCCGAAGGGTTTGTTGCCATTTGGGCCAGCTTGTTTTGGTTAGTTTTTGCAAAGGGGAAGAGGAGCGGTGAAAGCTCAGCTCCCAGGGCAAAGGGGCACCGAGGATGGATCGCAGGCTGAGGAACGCCAAGGGCGAAGAGGACCTGCCTTTCCATTGCCAACAGCGGGGCTTTGCAGCAACCCAGCTGTGTCCCAAAGCCTCGCAACCCACAGTCCCGCACCAGCATAGGGGTCGCAAGGGCCACACGCCCCACCTCTGACCTTACGGGACACTCTGGGAGGCCACTGTAACTCCTTATTCCCTACCTTACAGCTAGCTCAAGTCTAGCATCACCATTTCCAACCACAGCTTTGAAACACTCCATACGAGCACGAGGGTTGCCTGGTCAGCTGGAGGGGTCAGAAAATGATGCCTCTGTTTTCCACCGTTTGGCTCAATCTGGCATCAGGAAAATATTAATTTTTATCAACTTTTTTTGTTTTGCATATATACTTGTACACAGCACACGTGATGTTACAACATTCAGGGGATTCACCAAGGATGCGAGAGAGATTTCCACTGCTCTCCTGCTTCATCTGCCAGCACGTCCCAGCATCCGCTACCTTAGACTGTGTGTCTACACTGCGCATCCCAGAGACCCAGGGGTTACGTTACTAAAAATAATGACATATGGCTGACTGATAGGACCGTGCAGGGAAGCAGGAAGGGATCTGCTGTGGGGAGAGGCTATCAGGCTGGAGATGGTGCATTCAAATGCCATGGTGCATGCTGACTCCTGTTAGCTTTTCCCGTGCAACGTAGACTAAATCCTGAGAAAAGGGAACAGGGGTAGGCAGTAACCATCTGCCGCCCACCCCATAGGGTTGCATTCAACCCTGGAAATTCCCTATTTTCTTCTGAGTGTCTGGGGTGGAGCTGATCTGAGGCTTTTGCTATCTGAGTCCTGCAAGTGTTTCTGCACCTCGTCATTCCCATTGCTTTGGGAGAGGAAGGGAGAGACTGCAAACCGCTCGCCCCTGTCTGAGAACAATTATCCCATCGATATCATGGGGCTCTTCACGCCAGGGCGAGCTGAGCAGTCAGTGTGAAGCCCTCACAGTTTGATCCCTCAAGCTCTGTCAAAGCAGGTCAGTCGCACCAGAGGGGAACAAACATGAATATCATGATTTTCAATCCCACGCCCCGTTCATTAGACCGAGCATTTAAGTGGAATTGCTTTCTGGATACAGACAACTGTCTCCCAACTGTGAGACTCTTAGTCGAAAACTGTGCAAAATCCAAGCTGTCAAGGTATCTCCACTTGGAGATTAACCCTGTCTGAGGGGCTATGGAGACAGATAAGTCACCTTTATCTCCGGCACCAGCTATCTTACTGAATGTGGATTCAACATGGGTGAAAGGTACTGCCACCCCTCCAAACAGCTCGCTCCCAGCCCAGCAGCAGAGATGGGGTTTCAGGCTAACACCGGTGAGAGGAGTTTCCCAGCCCAGCCTGGGGGAACTGCCCACCTCCAGCGCACAACCCTCATTCCCTTGCTCATCCTCAAGTGTCATCATAAAGCAGGCTGGGGCTGTCCAGCCTGTGGGCAAGGGGAAACATCAGAAAACAACGCTGACAGTCATGTTGGGAAGGGGAAAGCCACATAGCAAGCGTTGAGCGGGGAGCAGCCAAGGCCTGACCTTTTCTCTTGGTGCAGTGGTAGATCTGGCTGTGCTCCTGGGAGATCGGGTAGGGGTTGGCAGGCGGTAGCAGGTCCTGGGAGGTGCTCGACACCCCGTTCTCACACTGGTACTGGGAGCCCAGGTTGGAGGAGGCAGAAAGGACCCTGGTCTCACCACTGAAGGGGCTGTGATTCGAGGACACTTTTTGTCTCACTGTGCTCCTGGGAACAACCGGGTACTCTTTACTAAAAGCAAAGAAACAAACAAAAAAAAAAAGGCAGAAAAGCAATCAATTAATAAATAGATCAGTGAATTAATAAATGCAGGCAGCACATTAGTGTCATGGTGTTTGTTTAGACTTTCAGGGAAACAGAGACGTCCCTCCCAGGAGACTGCAGCCCCGTCACACTTTATCGGTGCAGTACTCTCTTCTATTTCACTTTCCTTGTAGTATCTTTCCCTTTAGAGTCATGCCTCTTCCACCACAACTGCTATTTTACACCCATACATCAAACAGATACACACAGTTATAGCAAAATACACAAGATTTATATCTGCATACTATGATAGCATTTCTAAATTATATAGTATTTATATTGTATATGTGGATGTGCACATGCGTGTAAATAAAAACCTCATTTCTGCCAAGCTGACTTGGAGATGGATTAAATATTTAGGTCTACTTTTTCCCCTTATGGTAGTTGCCCCCATTCATTCTCTCCGGGGTCTGCCAGCCTAGTTGTCCTGGATGGGGGATCCCTGGACCAGAGAACAAGCTCCACTCCAGAGTGTTCAGAAAAGAGAAATAAATAAATCACACCAGAGCCACATGCCTCAGCAGAGCCAGGCTGGGAGAGTGAGCACGGATGGAAAGTCTGGTTTGTTCCTTTGCTCTGAAATCTGGTTTCAAGCAGGGATGCTTTGCCAACACTGGCTGGAAATCTCCTCTCCTACAAGACCCTACAGTGCATTTTGGAGACATTTCCCCAAGCACATCAGCAACATGGCTGGACAAGGTTATTCCTGCTCTGCAGGGGGGAGAACTGAAGCTGAGTAGGGGGTATCGGAGACTTCAGGCGAGGTGCAAGCCTCCTCCTGGGCTGTCTCCAAGACAGCTGGGTGCTCTCTGAACCCAAGGACTTGCTAAAATGTGTAAAGATCAGGTAGTACAGCAGCACCTCGCAAAGTGCCACCAGGCTCAGAGCAGCCACAAACCAGAGCCCAGATTCCAACGCAAGCTTTCTTCTTTGAGGCTATAACCGTTGGACCAAGCTGGCTTTGAGGTATCCTACTCACCTGCCCAAAATCATTATGCTGGAGCAAGGACAGATCCTTAAATCCCATCAGCAAGCTCACCTGGCCACTTACACGTGGAGGAGGAGCACTGAACCTCCAATTACAACCCTTAGAGAGGACCTATCACTGTAGCAACTCAGAACTCATTTATAAAATTTAACAATGCCAATTATATAAACCTACTCACAGCAGGGAGCTTTCATCCAAACCACTGCTGGTGGCTGCCAGAAACATCAGCAACCGAGCTGTAATGGAGGGGAAACTCACCCAGGAGCTCAAAACCAAATAAATGTGTCTCATTGTGCCACAAAAGCTTTCCAAACCCCGGGCACTGGTGGCTTGCCAAGCAGATCCTATTCCAAAGGTGGGGTTTCTTCGCCTGGAAGCCCAGCCCCTCCCCGCAGGGCCGACAGGAGCATGGCTTTCCACCCACTTGGGCTGGCTGACCAGGCAGCTTTTTCCCAGAACTGAAGTCCAGGAGGTACACGAGGAACAAAAGAGAGATGGACTGGGAGGAAGCAGAGACTTATCCCTCAGATACCCCAGCATCCATGGCTGTCTTGTGTATGTGGTGGGCTTCAGAGGACCTCTCTGCCTGTGGACACCCAGCACTGGCATTTCCACCCCAGGAGCTCTTGCTGGAGGCCAGCTTTGGTGGCTTTTCAGGAAGGCCAAGAGCTATGGCCTTCAAACCTTCTAGGTTCCAGGGGGTCTCCCAGCCCTACCAGTTCCCGGTTTTGAGCTGCCTGCTCCTGCCGTGCTCCGCCTTCACGTGGGGATCCTTATGGAAATAGTACCAGCACGACACCCCACAGCTGCATCCCCACCATGTTTCCCTTCCAAGGAGACAAGCCACAGGGAGGTGACACACAGACCTTGCCCTTAGCTCTCCTTCCTAATGAGAGGCTGCTGCATGGATTGGCTGGTTCCTTCTTCCTCAGCTCCAACACCACCACCCTCCATCCCCCCCAGGAAATGATAGAGCCTCTTTTCTTTTTTCTTTTTTTTTCAGTGGGGTACCTGTGAGCTGTGATGGAGGAAGAGGAGGGACATACCATGGCATGATGCCAGATGCCACACCAGAGACTCTTTTTTTTTTCCTTTTTTTTTCAGTGGGGTACCTGTGAGCTACGATGGAGGAAGAGGAGGGACATACCATGGCATGATGCCACATCATGGTCTCTGTGTCTCTTCTGGAGGATGTAGAGATGACTGCTGTCACAGTGTCTCCCTGCTTCGGTGGGGGAAGAATTGAATGTCTCTTTGGGAGCGTCATCCTCTCCCCATTCACACATGGGATTAGATCTGCCTGGGGGTTTCTTACAGTAAATTCTCAGGGTAGCTCACAGGGACCCCATCAACGTCAGACCTTCACCGTGTGAGGCACCATACAAACACTAAGAAGCCATCCCCATCCCAGATACTTCTCACTTAAATCTACACTTTCTCTGTCTCAATGGAGAGCTGAGAAGAGGAAAATTTAACAATGTGATTGTTTTTTCTTGTTAAAAAATATTTCCTTTCCATAAAGGAGCTGTATGCCTGAAACAGCAATATTTTTACCCTGAAGTGCCAGCATAGGTGATGTCAGGATCCCACACTCCCGTTGTGCACTGGGGACCAAATTCCTTTCAGACTGCATTTCCCAGGAGACACGACAGCCTCCGTGGCCGTAAAAGAGGACCGTGGTGCTCTGCAGGAGACACGACGGGAGCTGGGAGTCACGCTGGAGAGGGAACAGGTTGGAGACACCAAGTTTCCAAACAGCAGTTCCCAGCAGGTATCACAATGACTTCTCTCCAGACTGAAATATTTCCATTTCAGTCAAAACATGTTGGGTGCTATTTTTGCCAAAAAATCAACTATTTGAGGAGGGAGAGGAAGGAAAGTATTTTCTAACTAAATATCTAAAATATTCTCTTTTTTTCCACTTTGCCATTTTCCTATACACACAGGCAGTTATCTCTGTATTTCTACCTTTTTCTTCCTTATAGGGGCTGAGCTCTAATAAAAAGATATCTTTGGTACCTTGTAAAGCAACAGTCATCTTGAAACACTTATACTGTTTTCTGAGCCCGCTCAATATGCACTGTGCACAGCTACCATTTTAGTTTGTCCTTCGGTCTTTAAAAATATATCAGATTCGGTCTTTTTCAGGGCCTAAAAGTCGCTATTCCCAAAATAGCTGGTTGTAATCCTGGGCCACAGTTTAATGGAATGAATGGTTTTGTGCATCGCTGGCACAAAATGACTGTTGTGTCCAGAAATTTTGCTGTCCAAAAAAATTGCAGTGAAGTAGGGAGGGGAAAAAAAGCGTTAAAGTCTGACTTAGACTGGCAATGCAGGAAATTGTCCACACGGCAAGGAAGAGACTGTTGTTCCTGGGCCAGAATGTGAGTTACAGTTTTACATGGGGGTGTTAATGGGCTACATTTTTTTTGCATTAAAAAATTGTACAATTAGAAGGAAAAAAAAAAAGTTGGTTGGGGAAAGAATTTACAAGGAGGAAAGCTGTCATTGGTCTATTTAAAGTCTGTTGGAGGCTAACGATGAATATTCAGTTACCGTAGTTGGTGTATTACAATAGCAGAGGGGGATTGGAAGGAAAGGGGGAGCCACATTGCGCAAGGTGCTGTACAGTCCCTGTGCCACCGGGCTCCCAGCTGAAGGGCCACCAGGAGAGATTATTACTTTGATTTTCATTAGAGCTTGGGGGAAGAAATCAGGGATGAAGTCCAAGTCTATAGAAAAGGCACGCAGTCCTGAAGTCTGGACTGAGTTCTTAGCTCCCACCTGGCTAGATGTTTCCCAGACCCATAGGATCAGACAGCGGCTCTGCATCGCTGCTTCCTAATAGCACACACGTTCCTCTTTAGAGTTCATCGTATAACCCCGACCCTACAGATCGGGCCTTACAAGTGAATCCTTCCTGCATTTCCCGAGCGCTTCCATCACAATCAGACCTCTGGCAAGTGGAAGTAGCAAACTCGGTCCCATTTTCACATCTCATGACATCTTCCCCCTCCCCTGGCCAAACGATGCCCTCACCATGACAGACTTAGGAGATCTGTAAGGTCACTTATGACGCAAATTCATATCTAGCAAAGGATTCAAAGGAGCAAATTTAAGAAGGTTTTGTAATCTCAGAGCTGGAAACCTTGTTGGCCTCTGCAAACTCATAAAAACTGTGGAAAAATTATAAATATAGACCTTCACAGAGCAGTCCACTTTCTTGCTTATCAGTACGCTGTAAAAGACTAATAATTTTCAATGCATTTTCATGTACAGACTTGAAGTTTCCTATTGTACTAGCCAATGCATAGTAAATGCAGCTGCCAGACAAAAACCTCATTAAAAATCTCTCTTAAGATCCACAGTTCATAATCAGGAAGCTTCTGCATTGAAATATCCAACCCCTACTGGCCCTAAGCAAATTATTTTAGAAGATACTTCTGATAGTTCTGCAACAAAGCATTATACGCCAAGGCTCTCCAGAGCTGCTGTAGCTCATGGTGACAAGACTTCAAAAGACCTACTAAATGTAGGGCCCCGAGGATCATACTGATACCTGTTCGAGGTCAAGATGAGGCACGATACAGAAAAGGATTTCCCCGTGATTATCTGCTGCCATGTTCTTACAGCATTCTTTGGAGCCCCTGAGCTGGGCACCATCTAGATCTTGTTCACGATGGCAACTCCTAGTCTAAAATCTGACCAGAGTTATAGCAGTGGCCAAACGCAGTGATTCCCCTCCACTCTTTCCAAATTGCCAGGAGATTCTAACTCCTCCTTGGTCAGTCACTACGAAAGGACAAGTGTTTGCCATCCTATCAGTCCTGCCCCCTCCACCCACCCAGCACCCGTGGATACAGCGATGCAGAATCAGACCCCAATTCCAGATGTGCAAATATAACTCAAAGGCATTTGGGTTTATATTTCCCAGGCCACC